TGAAGAAGTTTAAATGGCCACACTGAATTTTAGTGAATGTTTATACAGATGACAGTAAATATTTTTTAATGGAATTGAACTGAATAAACATTTCATCCAAAACAAAACAAATTCAATCTAGCTGTCTTACAGATAGACCAAGGCTGTCTTCTGACTCATACTCAGGCATTCATTTTCTCTCTTTTTTTCATCCATTCAGGTTTTGGATTCACCAATGTCCAAAGCAATGAGCCGGAGAACGGCAACTCTCGTCAACTGAGGCTCAGCGTCATACGCAATGGTGGCGACATCGGAGTGGTAGCTGTCATTTGGGAAGCCAGGATCAAGGGTCAGTTCAGGAACCATTCCTTCGGGCCAAGATGCGTTTTGCAGAACCTCACGTACATCTCTGGCTATGTCTTCATATTTAGATGTAGAATTCTGTAATATTCAACGCTTGCATCAGAGAAAAATGCATGAGACAGTTGGCTCTTTCTGAGAAGTCTTGATTTTAAATTCCCACTGTCAGTTTGAAATATTGGAACTGACAACATGGAACCAGCTGAGGTTCCTGTTGGAACCATTGCCTATGTGAGCAGCCAGTTCTAGTGCACAACCTGCTAGTGTTGGCTGATGGAATATGAAAACATACTGCACAGATTTCTCAGTTTTGCTCGTAACTAATTTCCAAATCTTTCTGGGAACAAAGCTGTACTTTGGACGAGTTTGAAGCACTAAAACAAAACATCTCAGCTGTGCCAAAAATTATACCCAAATGACCTGCTTCAGCTCGTTTTTAAGCTTTCGAATTTGGTGCTAAGCCTGATAGTAACTCTTGTGTGCTAGCTGATCCCTACTCCAATCACTCATCTTGTGCCTGTTGTCTTGTAGGAGTGCTGGCTACAGATGATGTTTTCCCGACCGGAGGAACTTTGTACTTCCTCTCGTTTGACGTCAGCCAAACGTTCACTCTGGACATCCTGCCAGATGATATTCCCGAGGAAAGAGAGGTGAGATCAACGTTGGTTGCCCCTTTGTTTCTGAAAAATTGCATTGATTAGGCAAATTTGATATTTTGTCATAAGAAAGAAATTGAAAAAAAATAAATAATAAGAACAAAATAAACCAGGATGTTGCCTTCCCACCGTTTAACAGATAACAGATCGGATTGAAATGTGGTGTGCGCATTGAGATCCACATTCTTGGTGCATCTGCAAAGGTTTTGGCCTATCAATCAACACTTTCAACTGATAAACAGTTTCTGGTCCTCAGTACTATTTCATCCGCATGCTGTGTTTCCGTGTAGACTGTCATCTTGACCCTAGTCAATGCCACTGGGGGCGGAGTCATTGGTAATCCGCCCACGGCGACTGTCTCCATTGAAGCTAATGACAATCCACATGGTATTGTGGAATTCAGCATGGATGACAACATCGTCCAGGAAGTAGCTTCAGAGGACACGGTGGCCAGCATCAGGGTGACCAGAAGGTAGGTGTTTCGCGATTGTGGGATCAAAGGGGTCCAATTTCACGGCTCTTGCCATCTGAAATGTTCAGTTGTGATCATTGTTAAGCACTTTTTGCCAGCACAAAGCTCTGTATTAACCCTTTAAGTACAGAAGCCTCAGTTGGGTTGTAAGCATGCATGCAAGCCAAATTCCCATTCTATCTGTCTTCAGTTTCAATCATGGATTTCTCATAAAGGCTGTAAACAGTGTTAGCCCGTATGGCCAAAGCTAGTGGGATGTGGTGCATGCGTAAACTGGTTCCCGAGCATATGGCAAAGATTTGCATGGCCAATTTTCAGTTGAATGTGCACAAACTAATAGCATCCTAACGTGTACTGAGGGAACCCATTTGTGTTGTTTATTTAAGCGACTGCCAACTATCTCTTGTCACTTGACGGGAGGGGGGCAGAAAGTACTTGACTGTAAAGTCCACGCAGCCATTAGGTCACATCTCTTTGAAAAGGCTCTGCTCGTTACACTATCATCTCTCTCTCATTTTTTGTCGTAATTGTGAGTAGAAAACTGTTTGATTCTCTTTTGCATTCAGTGCTGGCACTTTTGGCGAACTGCAAGTCACCTTTGACACCCGACCCCTCGACCTCATCCGGGAGGTCACCCAGAGTGGTGAGACAGCACTGGACTTCTACCAGTCACCGATCACGGGCAGCCAGACGGGGGTGTCCATGACGACTGTCAACGTGACTGGCCAATCCAACCCCCGCCTGAGCTGCGCAGCGGAGTGTCTGAAGGAACGGGCCTGCGGCTCCTTTGCCTACCGCATCTTCAACGGGGACCCCATGTGTCTGTGGACAGTCTCCGCAGCAACGGACAATGTGGACGCCACGTCTGGATTCACACTTTATGTGAAGAATTTAGTGAAGGTAGCTTAAAGTAATTTCCTGCACATGAGATTAATTAGCCTTCTTGGTATTACAAATGAGGCATCGCTGTATGTAACATTTCAACTTTATTTTCATGTTTTTTGCAGGCCCAGGCTCTGTATGACAGTCAAGCGATACCAGGACTGGACTATATTCCAATCAACAGTGGCACAGTCAGGATACCAGATGGTACGGCCTATGGTTACTTGAATGTGACAATCCGCGACGATACCACACCAGAGCAAAACGAGGTTTTCAATGTAAGTTCAAAGGTCAGAAACTCCAAACTTAGACGTTTCCTGAGGTGGAAGTTTATTTGTCTACGCCCAACTTTTACTCCAGTGATATCCGCCGTTTCAAAAACCCTTTAAAAAAAAGAACTTAAAGTTAAAGCATATGTCTATATTTTCCCTGATCCTAGATGCGTCTTGCCAGTGTCACCTTGGTAGGCCCCACCCCACAACCCCAAAACCTCCCCACCCTGGGGAGCCGGCGGGAGACACGTGTCACCATCGCCAGCAACGACGACGCCAACGGAGTGTGGCGCATCTACAGCAACAGTCCCGAGGCCGTGGACGGTCAGCTAGTCCTGGTGACGGAGACGGAAGGGGTGAGCGTCAGCGTGGAGCTTGTGGTGGAACGCCAAGGTATGAAGAATGAAAATGATGGAAACCAAAGAAACCCTTCTGACACCAAATGTGTGGAAATCTCAAGATTTATTCCTGTCAGACGGCAAAGTCTGAAATGCAGAGTAAACAGTCTTTTACTCCAACATCTATTTTTTTTTAACCAGGAGGCAGCATCGGCGATGTCAGCGTGTCTTGGCGGGCAGTCCCAGGCACTGCCAGCGAAGGGGATGACTACAGCGCCAGCGGGGGCACGCTCAACTTTGCCTCCGGTGAAAGCAGACAAGGTACGAGCTGGCATAGACGTCGTAGCAGTTTTTAATGGCATGGTAGTAGGACATTGGTCTGGACGTTGTTTTAGCCACAAAATCCAAATCCACCGTTTGCAAGAAATGAGCAAAGTGACCTCATATTGGATTCCACATTTTGAGCAGTGGGAAGTATGTTTATCACAGTTTACATTTTTGAAAACAATATTGAAACAGTCGCAGAATGCAAAAAGCTAAACTTTGTTGTGCTATAAACACACTGCAGAATAAACCCCCAACATTATCATTGAAGTTGTATGTAAAGAGGTGTGGTTCACTCTTTCATTGAAACTTAGCCACTAGCATACAACATACATGCATCTGACCTTATGCTCTAAGGTCAAGTGCAGTACTGGTGGTATAAATGTTCTCACGTTTGACTAAACTATTGGTATTTGATGGTTGTAGTTTTTAGCAAACTGGAATTCATTTCAGTTAAGTTTGCAACATAGTTCTCAGTCTTGCTACAGCCTGTGCATTGGGCAACCCCATGAAATTAATCAAATCAAATCTTACCTCAACCGTCTTTATTCTGCGCAGTGATCAATATGGGTATCAGGGATGACCCAATCCCAGAGATGGACGAAACCTTCTCCATTGAGCTGTACGATCCAGTGGGAGGAAGCGAGCTCGGCGTGAACAGCCGTGTGGACGTTCGCATCTTGGCCAACGACTACGTGGCCGGCATTCTGAAACTCTCCATGCTGTCGTACATCGTCCAAGAGGGTGAGCGAAAGAGGGTAGAAGGGTTGGTTGGAAGACAGGGTTGGTTGACCCTTTCAGCCAATCAGCATATTGCCAACCCTAGTGATGGAAACTGTCCAAGTTATTTCTCACTCTCAGCATTTCTGATGGCAAAAGTGTTTCAGAATGGACACTAAAACGTACCAAGCATACCTTTGCCAACCTCCTTTGTGGGGGTTGGGGAATGTTAAAAGTGTTGGGTGATAACCATTTCTTTACACCCAAACTACTTTCCTAATAGTGTTTTTTTTTAATTTGCTTTTACAGAAAAAGGCTCAATTCCTTGTTTTTTTGTGGCTAGCAGAATCAGATCATCACTCTCGTTCTGATTCAAAATCTTGTTGGAAATGATTTTAATCGCAGTCTTTTGTTTGTTGTTCTTTAGGCGAGGAATTTAATGTCACAGTTGAGCGATCAGCCCCAGGCATGGGCCAGGTGACTGTCGACTGGTCCATCACCGGTGTGAACGGGCAAGTGGCCACTCAGAGCTTCATGCAGACCAACGGATCACTGTTCTTTGCACCTGTAAGGATCAACTGTTTCTAGTTTACGGCATTTTACCACATTTTCGACTTGTATGACAATCACAGCTTGATTAATGCACCTGACCCGGCTCAAGAATACTTATACTATGGGCTGGCAAAGTATGGAGGCTCATTTCATTCCTGCATATTGAAATCAACCTGATTTTACATTCCAAGGGCCAGTTATTAAACACAAGCTTACATTGACTGGCTTTCACATCATAGAGTTCCTCACAAGTCCACCACGGGTCCTTACAAGTCAACCACAAGTTCTCACAAGACCTCAAAAGCCCTCCAGTCTCAAGCCAAGTGACAAACTTGTTGAGTTAACTAAGAAGAATACATTCTTTGGCATTTTCAATCTCATTATACTTGCGATATGATTTGGCCTGACGTCACTGCTTTGGTGCCCCTAACTTATGCACACTAGCCTCGGCACTACATTGTGTATGACATACGTGGTAACGCAAGTGATATTTGTTCTGAAAAGAGCACAGATGATATTCAAATCAGCCTATTTACATTCAAAGGAAAACTGACTTTCATATCATACATAATCATATAATCCTGCTTAACATTCAAAAGGGGCAACTCCTGGAGGCCATCTCGCTCTTAGTCCTCTCCGACGACACCCCTGAGGTAAATGAAGAGTTCCAGATTGGCCTGGGCAACGTGCGGACCATCGGCATCTCTCCCACGGGGGCTGCCACCCTAGACCCTCAGGGGTCGACAGCCAGTATCACTGTCCAGGCCAGTGACGAACCCCACGGTGTATTCAGCTTTGCCCAAGGGTCAGAGGTCGTGTCCATTGCGGAGGGCAACACAACAGTCCAGCTCTTTGTAGACCGGAAGTTTGGATCCATTGGTAAAGAGTTCTTCTATCAGTGTTAAAGTTCTCAAAAGTTGGATATTAAAGAAATAATTTAGTTAATATCTGTTTGTTTTGCTGGAGCACATTGGTTCTTGTTTCCTGAGTGAATTTCTTCAAATGAGAAAAAAGAAATTTTTAAAGATGAGAATTGAAGCTGATTCTGCAGAACCTTTCAACTGAAACCGAAATGTAATCCTGCCAGTGAAAGAATTAGGATTTCAAAAGCTAATAGTGTCTGCTGTATGTTTCTTCCTATTCTTGACGAAATACATTTAGATGCAGCGTAGACAGAGAGTTATTGAAGTTTAGCGGACTTCCTAAACCTGCTTTTTAATTCATAATGTAGCATTTGTGGTCATTTTTTTGGTGTTTTTGCATTATGTTTGCTGTATCAGTGTTTTTCCGTTTCATAACAGAGCCTAGAAATCAGATAGTCGATAGGAAAACTAAAAGTTGAAAAACATTTGGCTGTAAACCCACAGAAAAACATGGAATTACAAAATGTTGAAAATGAAAAGACGGAGCACTGTCGGCTGCTGTGTGATTTGATCTAACTGTTTGCTTCGTCCTGCAGGACAAGTACGTGTGTTCTATGAAGCCAAAGTAGGTTCTCTTGACCCTGCACTACCTGCTGTAAACCTGGCCCAAGATGGCCAAGACTTCCTTGGGGGGCCTAACTTTCTGGACTTTGAGGATGGCCAAAGCGTTGGCGAAATAGCCGTCACCATAAACGAGGTAATATTTGGGAAACCTGATTTCTGTATTTACGATGGGAAACTTTTAAATCGGGACTGCATTTTGTTACTGAATCTTCAAATGCAGGTTTCAATCATCGGTTTAATGACGGAAGAAAAATTGAAGGCTGATTTTATATGAAGTATTACTGAGGAAAGTGATTGGACTTAGATGTACGAGTCTTAGCAGATCCTCATGCAATTTTAAATTTCACCCTGTCATTGATTAAACTGTTCCATTTTGTTTAATCCTAATTTCTTGTGTGGACTGACATCTTTTCTTTTTATTCAGAAGTATGTTTTTTGTGCATTTCCATTGCGGCTACTTTCTGCTGACCATACAGAGTTTAAAAGTTATCCATTTTTAATCTATCTGTGAATTAGAGTAGAAGTCTGTCATCCGTTTGTTGTTGATGATGGTGGATTTTTGTTTGTTCCAGGATGACATTCCGGAGTTAAACGAGGTGTTCCTGGTCAACTTGACTGCTGTACAGATTCTAAATCAAGCCATCACCGACACTCCCCCGAGACTAGGTGGGTGCAACCAAGTTCTGCCAGGTTCATATGTATTTTGTCGACACTCTCCATGCATGGGATGTGCTTGCTGTGGATATCTTATGTGTGTTTTGCACCAGTTCAATGGAATCCCAGATGAGGCATTGGACTGTGCACAGGAACAGTTAGCCTATGAATTTGTATGCATCACATTTGCGTGAGGTTTGAGCTTTTTATGGTTTTGAAGAACATCTACTGTTATCAGTTCGGTAATGTTATGGCAGCTTCCAGTGTCTCAGAACTGTTCAACTTTGTCCTTCGTGCTTTCACTAACTCAGAAAAACCTAGAATCTTTCCATTGACTTTTAGACCTACATTGTGAAGGGAAAAGCTTTGGTCTGAAGCTCAGTCTTGCTAAGAGAATTGCTTTCTTTTTCCTGGCTGCAGATTCCTCAGGAACTCTGTCCGAGGTCACCATTGAAGCCAACGACGGCACCCAGGGGGTGGTTCTGTTCTTAGGAATCACTGGCAGGTAAAGCAGTGCAATATTACGGAGCAATTATGGTGACAAAACCAAGGATTCCTTAGAAGTGCCCGGTGCACTGTAGCTTGAAAGCCTGAAGAAACCTGGAGACAGTGAGAAGCAGTCGCAGTTTTAGGGAGGAAAAACACAGACCAATAGCCTGGGTAAAAACCCACAGAATCAGGTCCACATGGGGGTCAGGATTCGAACCCAGGCCACAGAGGTGAAAGATGAGGAAAGAACCATTGCACCAACCCAACTCCCCAGTACTAAAAAGTGCTACCAAATTACCGCGAAAAGATTGCAAAATACACAGATGAAATGTCAATGCATCTGGGGCATGTAAGGGTCATTTCTGCCAGTTTCGAAACTCCTCTTGTTCCGTCTGCACCATTTGTGCTCATAAATCTGTTACTTGAACACAAAAATAATTGACTGCATCCAGGTTGGCATTCCTACAGTGCATGCTCAATGTGAAGTGTGTTATATATAATTGAGAACATGAGTTCACCTGCACAAGGTCGACCCTGTCAGCGCCACCACATGCTGACTCCAGTATCGAACACTCTCCTGAGGACGGCCAGAGCATCCTGGTGGAAACGTTGAGTTAACACTCACTGGTTCTTGAAGAGATAGATTCCATGGTGTGCCCGCAAATCCTTACCATATGACCCACTCAACATGTTTGAGGTGGCATGATGTGAGATGCTCTGTTCTCAAATGACCTTGCCTTTTTGCAAAAGGACCAGCAAAGTAGTATATGGAATCTATTTGTAAAACCACATTTTCAGCGGTTGCTTAACTGTTTTTAAACACTCTCAGGACGAATATAAAAATCCATCTTGGGATGTTGATTAACCTGTTGACATTTGATGATGGTCTTGTTTCCAGCCTTGATACCATCGAAGCCGAGAGGACTCTACAGCTCACTGTGTCTCGCGACCGAGGCACCTACGGTGCAGTCACTGTCTTCATCTACAGTCAGCCTGTGGATGCCAGGAAGGGCTCTGACTATAGCTTCAGTGATCAGGTTTGTAACCTTATGCACTAGAATTTGAGTTCAGACTTGATGGAAGATAAATTCTTTCTTCCAGGTTTCACTGTTCCATACTTTTGCAGAATAAAAGGATTGCTGCAGAATGAAAAGCTGTAAAACTCTACGGTGTAAGCAAAACTTTCAGAAGTGATCTTGTCTCCGTTTTCTCTCCTTGACAGAAAAGAAGAACATCCTTTCGCCGCGTCTACCAAGTGACCTGAGCTTTAATAATATATGCCACCACTTAACGTTGTATTAAATCTTCAAACACTTTGTTCTCAACTCTGCGCAGGTCCTCAGCTTTGGAGATGGCGAGACGACCAGAACTGTCAATGTTGCGATATATGATGACGACATTGCAGAGGGCGACGAAACCTTTGAACTGATCCTTAACAACCCGACGGGAGGATTGCAACTCGGAGACCCTGCTAAAGGTAACAATTTTGCTTACCAGAATTCAGGGTACGGGATTTATGCATACAGTGGCTCTGTACAATATATTCTGGAGTCATATACACAATTGTCAACTCATAGAATTGAACCACATTAAGCCATTTCTTTGTGAGCTGGACATGATATACTGAAAAGCAGATGGTACTATGCTACATGAAATAGAAAACTTTAAATACCACAAGGAATCCTGTTTTGTTTGAGAAAGGTTGAGTGCCCAGTGAATGTCTGTAGACTTGGTGCTGTGATTTAGGGAAAGAAATGCATGCATTTACCACCCTTACACGCACCATTGACCGATGCCCTCTCTTGTTTAGTTCACTTGTTAGAAATTCACGGGACTCTGGTTTTTATGCTCTCTTTAGTGTTAAGCTATTTTTCCTTTTTTTCGTTCATGTTTGTGGTGGTGTGAGGATTGCATTGTTAACTAAAACTAAAACTTATCGATGTTTAGAGTTTCGTCATTTTCTTCTCTTGCTCCAGCAACCATCAGAATCCTAGCTAGTGACGACGCCTTTGGCATCATCAATTTTGGCGCCCCGACCAGAGTCACGATTGAGGAGCCCTCTGACACGGACACATCCAACAGCGTTGCCCAGCTGACCCTCGTCCGTAGCCGGGGGACGTTTGGAGACGTACAGGTCCCGTTCGCTGTCGTGCACGGTGATGGGTCGCGAGGGGTGGTTGACCTGACGCCTGTGGATGGCTTTGTCACCATAGCTGCTGGAGAGAGCACAGGGGTAAGTTGCTAAGTACCGAAAATTGTTGCTGAGCATGAAACAGGCTACCAGCTAAAACGTCATGCGTGTACGTTACTGGTTCCCTGATGAATTTTGCTTTTAACATGAAATGGAAGTGTTTTTCTGTGAAGTATTTCCATGAAACTGGTCTCAGCGGGTATCACGTTTGGATTATAAATCTACCCAAGATTTTTCCACTATTGATTTGATCCGATTAAGATCTGTCCTTGATGAAGACTTGGCATGAGCGACCAGTGTGAAAAATTGGCTCCTGTTTTTGTAACAGCACTGAAGGTCAGCCTTAAGCTGTCTAAAATGTCAAAAACAAAGTGGTCAAGAATATGTTCTGAAGTATTTTCCGTGCCATATTTGCTCTTTCTGGTTGAGTTACATCAGTTTTCAACTTTTTTGTCAGGTTCTTCGCATTTCGGCCACACCCGACGATATGCCTGAGCTGGAGGAGGAGTTTCGGGTGCTCCTGGCCACGCCCCAGGGCGGGGCCACCCTCGGGGGAAATGACAATGCCACCGTCGTCATTCAAAGGAACGACGCCCCCTTTGGCAGCATGCAGGTTTTCCCAAAAGGAACCAGGTAATGCAGAGGTGTCGCACAGATAACTGTGTCAGGTTCTCTTGAAACTTTGCATATAAAGACTGATGGACCACCATGTTTGTCCAGTTAATTCAGGTAGAAATAGTAAATAGCACATGAAATCAAATCCTGCAGAGGTTTTTGTTCACAAACTGAGTCAGATGCATTAGCAGAAGACAGTTTTCAAAGTGAGAAGCCTACTCATTGTAATAAGTTCCAATAGATATTGTTTCCTCCAAGGCCAAGCAGCGTCAGTGTCCCAGCCTGTCTAAGAAAGTCATATGGATCATTTCATTGTTGCCATTGTTAGAACTCGTCTTGTTCTGTGGATCTCTCCTCACATCCAAATAAATCTTGCACCTGCTATTTGCAAAAATTGAATGACAGATCTTGCTGAAACATTTCAGTGATGGCCAACTTATGACAACCATGCCCTTCTTTGAATGTTTGAGTCTGGGTCTGAGACTCAGTTGTTGAGTCTGTGTGAGTCATTCATGATCTTTCTTCCGAGTCACCAGTTTTGGCATTTTTCATGCCAGGTGTTGTTTTTCATCATCTACTGACATTGTTTTTTTCTGCAGGCAGGCCATGCTGGACGTGGAGGAAGAGAATAGAACAGCCTACTTCACTGTGGAGAGGTCAGGGGGTAGCATTGGAACCGTCACGGTAGACTGGCAAGCTGTCCCGGGCACTGCAACAGCACAGGGTACACCCAGAATTCAGACACAATCCATTATTATGACTCCATACTTGCATGCACCCCTCCCCCTTTCTGGCACGACAAAAGGAGATGTGACCGACACAGAAAGGCCATTGCCACCGTATGCCTGGCACCGGTGCAAAGACATCGCACATTTGTGCACATTCTGATGAAAACTGAAAGTACTCACTCAGAACCATAAGCGTGTTGTTTTATATGAGCGCACACTGTCTTCTCGTTGTTTGTTTAAGCCTGTGGAAAGAAACAGGGAAACTGGAAAATGATTTCCAATTTTCGATGCACTGCCCCAGAAAATCACTTTCATCCGAATTTTCTTTTACTTTGCATCACCTTTTTGAAAGAACGGGTTTTAATTGCAATTTTGTATATTTTTCTGAACAGTGGGGGATGTTCTAGCGTTGGCCACTGTCCAGAGGATCGCTGGTCTGGCTGTACGCAGTTGGTGCTCGTACTCTGTCGGTCAGGATGTGTATCTGGTGATGGTCAGTGAGGCTGAAACTGGTCAGCTGTCCAGCGGGGTTGGCAGCAGTGGGTCAGCGGATGGCGCCACATCCATGCTGTATCGGTGGCAGGGAGAGTTTGTCCCCGTGCAGGTAGGCAGGTCTTTGTCAGCCTTGTTATGATCAAAGGCCCACACATTTACAAATTTGTGATATTGAGGCAAATATTTGCAGTGCAGATTTTCAAAAAGCAATTGCACTCAAACGTGGCGAGAAATGTTACCCAACCTCTGAAGCAGGTTTGATTCTAGAGAAAAAAAGGAGGCTTATATTACTTTTCAACATTTACACTTGTTTTGGCAAACGTTATTTCTGAATGGTAACTCTGAAATAGCTGGAAATCTCAGATTTTGCAGCTTGTTCAATGCAGGGAAAAATTTCACTGTTTTAGTTTATTGTGACTAAAAATATGAGTGATTCTATTTTCTTTTGAGAGACAAAACCTTGGGAGACAGGATAATAAATTACAATATGTCATTGATGCAAGAAATGACATAAACGACAACATGCCATTGGTAATAAATGACAATACGCCAGTAGCATTGTCATCAACCCACCTGTCTTCTAATTCTTGGCTTCTTCCACAGACTCTGGAGACTGACGGTGGTATGGCATGCACTTCCTATGACATCCAAGGCACAACGTACCTAGCGGTTGCCAATCACGGCAGCGCGGGGCGTTACGAGACGATGTCCCGCATCTACCGCGTGAATGCCGACGGGACGCTCCATGTGGTATGTAGTTTGAAATCATGCGAGTGTCTCGAGAAAAGATTCCCTTTGGGGAAGACTCTGCAAGATTTGAATCATCATGTACTCCAGCTGTTTGATTTGTACATTACAGGTCATGGCAGGCGGCCAATAGTTGCAGCAGTGCTTGTATTTCATACGCTGGTTTGTGGTCAGATTTTTGTCAATGTTTTGCTTGGTGATCTTTCCTGCGTACATATTTCCTGTGTATAATATTTTTAAAAACCTCTCGGAGGTACGTTTTGTTTGATGATTTGGGCAAAGCTGTCCATGAAAAAAAATTAACATGCCGCTGCCGCAAAAATTTCATCTCATTGCTTGATGTAGCACCTGCTACTGATTAACTCAGAGAAACCAACTTACCCCATCAAACTTGGGAGCTGAGGGTTAAGACGTCCACACTAGTAAGGAGGAGGTCGTGGGTTCAAGTTAGGCCCGAGTTGGCTTGTGAATTTTTTCACGAGCCCTTGGACAACAGTGAGTTTGCAATAGAAATAGAATGTACGTCAGTGAAGGGCAGAACTCCCAACGTGAGAATAAACATCTTCCCGACATAACAAAATTATTTTTGAGTTTTGAAACAATTGTAATACCCTACATGTTTCAGCTTCAAGACGTGGCCACCAGTGGTGCTACAGACGCTGTGTTCTTCACCATCGGCTCGGACGTCTTCCTGGTACTGGCCAGCGAGTTGACCAATGCCCAGCAGACCAACACGGAGTCAGCGCTGTTGCTCTGGACCGGCGTCCAGTTTGTGTCCGTGGCCAACCTGGCCACTACCGGCGCGGCGGGGCTGGAGGTGTTCAGCATCGGTGGGGATCGGTATCTAGCTGTGGCTAACTCCTACGACTCCAGTCAGGCCAGCTATGAGATCAAGTGAGTCCATGCCCTCAGTTTTCTGACTGTCATATTTCGAAGTCTTCTGTGGATATGACCGATATTTGAATGACAAGTGACATGTATGACGTAACTCAATATTCATTCTGCAGGTCTGTGGTGTATAAATGGGAGAGTGGTTCCTTCATGGAATATCAGCAACTGGACACACTCGGAGCTGTGGACGTTGAGTCTTTCAGTGTCGGCACGGCGATGTATCTCATCTTTGCCAATGGCCGGAACAATGGTAAGCTTTCTACCTGCTTAAAGTTATTCGTCTATGTATTGGCAGGAGAAAGGAGCTTTGTTGAGATACCTGGACTTCAACATCTAACATTGGCATCTTCTGTAAGCCATGCAACAAAAATGAAGACGAGAATGTTTCTTCAGAATGTAAATCACTTCCATTTTTCACATTTTGCAGCGGGTGCCACAAGTGTAGACTCCTACGTCTACCGCTGGAACCCCTCCACGTCCCTGTTCGTCATTCACCAGACCATCCCCACCCAGGGGGCCCAGTCCGTTGCCACGTTCCTCACCCCAGATGGCACCACCTACCTGGCGGTGGGCAGTTCAGGGGCAGACTCTACCCTGATGGAGTGGGAGCCGTTCTCCGCCATGTTCGTGGAGAGTGTCGTGTTGGGCCCTGCCTACGACGTTGTAGCCTTTACTGTCGCTGATTACACCGGGCGTGACTTGGTGATGCTGGCATTGGCCAATTTTGGTGATGGGACCTCAGTGTTGGAATCTTCCATCTTCCAGATGGCGGGGGTCACCAGTGCCTCAGATTTTATTCCAAGGTACATGATAAATCTTATTTGTTTTGGATGTTTCCAACTAAAAAAGGCTGAAACTTCAGAAAACTGTAAAAAGTGCTGGCTTCATTTATGATCCCAACCCACCCCCAATTCTTTTCACAAATGTCGTTAACTGTTTTGCAGTTACTCAGCATTAAATTCAGCTGAATTTCTCAAAATGATAGTTGGATTGTTCCTCAGTTCACCATGACTCATTTATTATTAGTAATACCGTGCACAAAAATGTGTTTGCAAACTACAATAATAACAGTCGTTTATCACCGAAAAAGATCCCAAAAATGAAACGTTGTGCATCTCCAAAACTCCTGAAGCACACTGATTTATGGTCCGGCTGTCTTGGTGATTTTCCTCCCAGATCGGGTAGACTGACCTTAAACCCTGAGGACACAGCATTGACTGTCGCTGTGACAGTGCTAGACGACGCCCAGCCAGAGGACGACGAATCCTTCCGCGTGGTGCTCAGTAACCCCACGGGTGGGGCTGAGTTGGGTCAGCAGTCTGCGGTGGGCGTGGACATCCTCTCCAACGATGATGCCCACGGCATCATCGCCTTTGCTCAGGTAATGCTAAATTGCTGAGACACTGAGATATTTCGAGAAGATTGCAAAATTTCTGACTGGGTCTAATAAAGTAGGACCAAATTGTTGTGGTTTCGCCGACCGAAAGAAAAGACACTAAGTCTTCAACAGCTGAGAAACTACCAAAATTAACAGTTGATCAAGTCGACAACGGATAACTCTGCATAAGAATTATTGGTCAAGAATTTCAAGAAAAGAAACTCAAGACTGATATATACGTAATGAACACAAGCACAAGTTAGACAAGTCTTCTCAGCAAAATTCATCAAACGTGTTCAACCTTTGTGGCCTGAATACTTGTGCCATTGTCTCAGATTTATGCTTGCTAACAAATTTCAAGAATTTGAAACAAATTTTTCTTCATTGGCCCGTTCCTGTCCAAACTTGTAGGATTCCTTGGATGTCCAAGCCACGGAGCAGGCCACGGACACAGCGGTCATCCTGACCATTGAGAGACAGCGTGGCACAGCAGGAGTGGTGGTGGTTGCCTGGGTGGCCTCTGGAGAGCACGACCCCGCAGACATAAGACCAACCTCGGGAATGGTAAGACTGCAGTGAGGTTTTTGCTAAAAATGACCCTTAAATCATATTTTTGAGGTATTCTTGCCAAGAACCATCCTGATTCCTCCGCCGTGCAGAAGGCCTCTATCACCTTTTCCGTACTACAGCTAGCTAGCTTCAGCTCACATTGCAACCGGTGTGTGCCTAGGGTGATTCGATATATCACGGGCAATAACAAACGATGGCTATCCAAAGGGACCCTGCAAATTGGCTTTGCAGAAATCTGAGTACCCGGCATAGAGATTTTGTGTAGTTTGAGGAAGCAGTGGAATACCAAAATGTGAGGGCAGTTGTCATGGTGATAGTTTCCACATGAGCTAGTTGCTTGAGACGTCCGTTACAAAAGCACACATAAAAGGTTGAGTGAACTTTGCAAAGAGCCATTACCTTGGCAACTGACAAAAGGTGAGGTATTCACTTTGGCCTTTCATAACAACAGAGAACAAAAGAAGGCAAGAAAAGATCCATAATGATGGTATCCATGAACACAGTGATGTTGTGTGTCAAACCCTCGGCTATAATTTCAAGTAAAAATAATCTGTCACCGAAGTAGAGTGTTTTTTGTCAAAGGTTGACTTTAACATGCCAAAAAATTTCCCAGGCCGAGTTTGCTGACGGTGTCTCCACGGCGGCTATTGTCATCACCATCACATCGGACGCTCTCCCAGAGCTGGACGAGACCTCCATCATCCAGCTGACCAGTGTAGTCAACCCGGGCACCATGCGGCCGGGCCGTGGCGCGATAATAAGCAACACGGACAGCAGGGCGACCTTGACGGTACTTGCCAACGATTCGCCGCACGGCGTCGTAGCCTGGACGCTGAACTCCCTGGTCAGTGTTGTTGGGGAGCCCGAGGGTGCACAGCCGTCGGCATCCGTCATCCTGCACGTGCTGCGAGAGCAAGGCTCCATGGGTGCAATCAACATTAGATACAAGTGAGGACCTTTCTTTAACCCCCGGAGAGCTGAGTTCCAAACCGTCTCCCCACCAGGGAGCCAAAGATCCCGACTGTCTCAAAACCATTCTTGTTGAAACTTAGCATGCATGTAAGCATATCCTTTATAAGTATCTGGAGCCCTGAAGGAGGGAGTGGCAAAGATCTCAACTGACCTATAACCATTCCACTCGGAACCTGGCATGTACACAAGGATAATCTTTGATAAGTATCCGTGAAGTTTCAATTCATTCTGACATAACTCTCCAACCTGAGTTAACCTGTTCAGTGGAGAAGCATGGCTGGGTTGGGTTTAGAGTGACAGAATGCAACAGGCTGGAGATTTAAAAAGCACAACCCTGATGGTGGCAAAATTGGGACAATGAAAAATAGAATGTATGTTTCACAGGGATGACGAGTGCAAATGGTGAAAGTGTTGCAATGATGTATCCAGAAGTACTCCAAAGATTGTGATTGAAACTCAAAAAGTCTGTAAAGTTAACAGGAATAAAAAAACTATGTTACTAATTCAGATAAGTGTAAAAGTGCAGGAATGTCAACATTTGAGGCTTCAAAATATTTTGTGTTTATCTGGAACTTGTTTCTTATTCAAATAAATTTATTATTTTTTTGTCTGTTTGTAGAACTTCCAGAGCAGCTGAGTTGCCTGCCCTGCGGCAAGCCGAGCCCAACCGAGACTTTGTTTCCCAAGACAGCTACGTCAGGATGGAGGATGGAGTCACTGCTGCCTCCCTGACCATCACAATCCTGCCAGTGAGTACCCTTCTCAGGAATGGGATCCACTCAAGTGCTTGCCCTTTTTTTCTCCAATCTCAATTTTTGTCTCTTTTTTCGATATCGCCTGTGGACTCTGCAATCCTTCCCTTCCCATTTCTGAACCCAATTCCAAAGTTTATTCTTCATTTGTTTGAATTTTGGTGTTGGGTGGTACGTCATAGAAACTGCATTGATCTGAAGAAATTCAGATCAGTTAACAGTTGAAGTTGAAGGGCAGTGTCAGAGTTAGAGGGAAAAAACTGAGGTTTGGAAAGTTCAAAAACCCACCCTCCTCCATTTCAAAAAGAGAACCTGTTTGGAAGTGTCAGTGTTAAGGCCAGATTATACTTGAGGTGAGTATAAAAATAACCACTACAAATTGGAAAGAGTTGGTTATGTTCGGTCTCAGGCATATTCCAGTGTGTGCACTTTATGACATCAAATCTTTGCCATTGCTCGCTTTAATGATGGGAGTGAGCCTGCTTTCAGGTTGTGCCTGGTGATTGAGCCCTCGCCCCGACACGCCTGGCAAGATCAGGATCACCTTCCAGACGGTGTAACGGAAAAGTTACTCTGTGTCTGACCTTATATAGGATCCATATTTTAAAAAAATTACCGCCAAATAGTTACATTTTTATTCATCACTCTGAAATCATGTTCATTTTTTTCGTCCATCCACATTTCTCGTAGGACACTGACTCTGAAGGCCCAGAGACTTTCCTGGTCAATCTGACCTCGGTAGACCTCGTCACTGGTACCCCGGTTGGCGGCGCAGCGCCCAGTGTCAAGAACGACCAGGCCGTGGCAGAAATCACCATCACGCAGAACGACAATGCCAACGGCATCTTGCAGCTGAATGCAACGAAGGTAAGACCACATCTCCTGTGCACTCAAACACTGTTTGAATTAAATGGGGCCATGCGATCAAATTCCACACTGCAGCAGGGTTGACATAAATATACATGCCTCTGAATTTCAGGAAAGTAATTTGACTCCACTTATTATGTAACTGTTTTTTTGTTTTTCCTGACACACGAGGGCACTGTTTTCCATGATGTCACTTTGGGCAATTAAACAGGATAGGAATTTCTTGTATATATTATGGATTCATGGTTTGGCTCAATTCAGCTGTAATGTTTTAAAGTCAAAGAAATGTGTGCAAAATATTGACCACGTTAAAGCACAAAAAATTTGGCCAACTATCTGAAGCCCTAAATCATTTGCCTAAAAACTGTTGTCCTTTTTCCTTACAAATGTGGATATTGGCACTTGTTTGAATACCAAAAAGCTCTTCAACTATATTAAAATTTTCAACACAAAGACATGATAGATTGGTAAATGCAACACAAAATGGATGCAAAAAACATTTCTGTGTTCTAAAATTTTCAATTCAAACGTGTTTTCACAGCAATTCTTTCCATTCTGTGTTGAACACAGCTTTAAGAATGACTTGATTTTTCTCCACAGAATGCTGCTGGTGATGTTGAAGTGTACGAAGGCTCGGGCACCAGCGGAATACTCAGTTTACCAGTCAGCCGTACAGCAGGTGCATTCGGTCTGGTAGGCGTTAACTGGCTGGCAACCACTGTGTCCGCGAGCACCGTGGACTTCTCTCCGCTGTCCGGAAATGTTACCTTCATCGAGGGACAGGTATATTTTCCATTTGATACGTCTAAAATTGAATTAAAATTCAAGTGTTTGTCACACTTTTGTGAGATTTTCAAACAGAAAACAGTAACATCCCTTAGATTAAGCTGCGTTGGACTTGGAAGATTGAGATCTGACTGGTAATTGTTATTTCTGGAACTCTGTTTTGCAGAGAGAAGCCTTCGTCGAGATTTCCATCACTGATGATACTATCTATGAAAATGATGAGGTAAGAAATACCTTAAAGAAATGTGTACGTAGAATGTCGACAAAAAGTATTCAAATGTTATCATGTTTATCATCGTAAACAATGTATACTCCCCATTTATTATGAAATGTGCTCAAACCAAAATACCAGTGTCCTTTTTCTGTCCTCAGCGATTCACAGTTTCCCTGCACAACCCAAGCGGGGGTGCTGTTCTGGGTGCCGAGACCTCTGTCATTGTTAAGATCCTCCAGAATGATTCGCCTAAGGGACTGTTTGGATTCCTGTACACACAGGTGAGGTGCAGCGAGCATTTCCTTGTGCCTTGCTGTTCCCCAATTGACCTGAGATGCACTTTATTGTGGGCATGGGCTGTTGAATTTCTGAACTAGCTGATTGGTAATTTATACTTTCGACGGCCCATTGCCCAATGTCACACAAAAAGTCAAAAATGCTGAGATCATCATCATAAAAACTCTACAGTAAATGTAAATATTACCAAAGATGGTGTTAGGCGCAGTGAAAGGTTTCTGAAAACGGTGAATCAATAAATCTACTTTTTCCAGGTCACGGGAATGGCATCAGTCATTGTGTAACTGCAAAGTTACGCTGTGAGACGTGATTAAGCAAACTTTGGGTCTCAATGTTTTGCTCATCTTAATTTCTTCAAGACCAACTTTTTCCATTGGAAGAGACTTTTGTGCTAATTAAAATGTTTGGACTGACTGAAATTTGGAGCAGCAGTCTTTTGATTTTTTTTTCTCATTTGCCTCGCAGGAGACGGTGATGGAATCTCTGAGCCCCTCGGATCCCAGCGGCCTGGTGACCCTGATTGTGGAGAGAACCCAGGGTACGCAGGACGTGGTGGTGGTGGAGTGGGCGTTGGACCCCCTGGGGAGGCAAGACCTCAACCCCACCCAGGGCTCGCTGACCTTCCAAGAGGTAGGACGGACAAACAGTTGGATGAATTCTGTCGGTTGTGAGCTGCAGACACTTGGATAAGGTTGAGACATTTGCCAACCCTATCTGGGCCAGAGCAGCTACAGCATCGCAGTTTGGACTGTCTCAACCATAGTCTGGCCTGGTGCCACTGTTGGGGCACAACACATGCCAATCTTCTAACCAGAATTGTAACCGGCCACTCTTAGTGGTCTTTATTGTTGAAAAAATGAACTAATTTCCACACGTAATGAAATATTTGTTTTTTGTTCTCCGTTTTGTTCGTCGCTGCAGGGAGCTACTCGTCGAACCTTAACTCTACGAGCTGTGGAAGACTCCGAGTTGGAAGGAGAAGAGAGATACACAGTCACTATTCTATCTGTCACCGACGATGCAGAAATCTCTCCTGTTCATGGTATAGCCACTGGAAGTCTTTAATTCTCTTGGTCCTTTTGTGGACTAATCTAAATCTCTTTCTGGTTATTTTGGAGTCTGTTTATGGGAAGATTTTACCTTCCTCGTCCACCTTTTTGAAATGTGAATTATGCGTCAATACCCCAGGGAAGGACACAGCTTTTTTTCAGTAAAACTCGGGCGTGTGACTGTCTTCAGATCAGCTTATTTGTCGTTTTACTTCCCAAGTGGTAAATATATACAAACTTGCCTCATAATTTTGAGCAGTCAAAAAAAAATCGTACTCTACATAAAAGAAGTAATTGGCTAAAACAAAACTGTGCCATTTAGCAAAACTTTTGCTTATTTAATATTTGAACTTTGCCAGCTGCAGCATTGGAGTGTATGCCAATTCAAATTGGAAAAACACCACAAATTAGTTATGGGCCTTTTTTGCGAATTCAAACAATAGACACCTGCTTACCAAGTGCTGATTTTGTTATGGACTTCTTGTGTGAGTTTGTGAATTTAAAGAACAAGACTTCGTTTCGAGAATGCATTTCGTTGAGGTGCAAATTTAAATGTGTCCATTGTTTGTTGATTTGCAGGCACAACTACCATTGTGATACAGCCGGATCCCGGATCAGCCGGCGTCATATCCATCATGCCGCAGTCAAGATACGTCCTGATTGGCGAGCCAACAGCCAGTCATGACGGCACAGCCATGCTGCAGTAAGTTGACTGAGCAGTCTGGGTGGGAGGCAATGCGACGGACAGGATGGGGGACGGGGAGACATGAATCTCTGATTTGCCGCAACGAAATGAGTCACAAGTCGCCAAAGCCACTTTTGAGTTGAAGGCTTTCAGAGATCAGCAGAAACCCGCAACATTTTGTCGCCCATGATCCACTTTCATCAGGAAGGCAAACTGAGCAGATGCATCAAAAGAAAGAGCTCAGTTGTCTCCGAAATGCAAACTAAGCAAAAATTACTGAAAAAAAAGGAATCCCTAGGACTCCATTTTGTGAGAGTTGGAAACATTAAGGAAGTGGCCGTTGATTGTGTCTGCCTGACCTGATGAGATAATGAAGAAGCCTTTCATAGCATTTTGAAACGAAACTAATTATTGTGGAAAATAGCCAGAAGCCAGTGGCCAGCGGCTGTAACATTTTCTCGTTGACACGTGTGTTGGTCCGGATAGGGTATAAAATCTATGGGTTTTTCACTTCTTTTGCTGTAGTTTGACCCGAGGTGCTGGGATCTTCAGCAGGGTGACCGTCAACTGGCAGCTCAGCCCTCGTGACGATTCCACTTTCAGTCAGACCTCGGGCATGGTGGTGTTTGAGGATCTTCAACAGAACGCTACCATCATGCTACAGGTAATGGTGTAAGGGGGTCATGGCAAATTTATGGACATCTTGGAAACACAGGGAATCTTAGAAAGACAATCTAGAAAGACTGTGGATAACTCATGGATATTCTAGAAAAGTTGTGGAAAAGTCACAAAGTTTTTGTAAGGAGGTGCTGGACATTTAAAGAAAATTTGAAGCCCGAAAGAATGACTTGGAATCACATCTTGAGATGGGAAAAAATGACAAGTTTCAAAAGGATCGTAAGCAGATAGTCCTTCCATCTCTGAAAAAAAATCAGATATGGACACCGAAGTAATGCTCCCATCTTGTGTTGCTGACAGACAATCGATGACAGTGTCCCGGAGATCAAGCAGACCTACGTCCTCCAGTTGTCCTCTGTCACTGGGGGTGCGGCTATTGACCCCGAAGCTGATGCCAACCAGGCCACTGTCATAGTGGTCGCCAGCGATCACCCACACGGTGTCTTTGAGTTCAGTGGACTTCCTGAGGTCATCGTTAGTGAGGACTTGCCCCAAGTGAGTATCCATGTGCTTGATTTTGTTTTCTCCCAGATGCTGCATGCTTTGCTGACATCAGGTGTCAGTCCTCTGGAAAAGACTTGTGTCCCCCCCCATATCCTATCTGCTCAAATGCAGGTAGTTTGAATTTATATTAAGTCTGAACTTGACACTGTTTGTTGGACGTTCTTTTCAGGTGAGCCTTGAAGTGGTGCGTAATGCCGGCATTACTGGAGCCGTGAAGGTGACTTACACAACCAAACAAATATCAGCCAAACCCAGTGAAGATTACGTAGAGGTGACTGGAGGTAACGATACATAATGATGACAACGTTATTTCTAGTTGAGTCTTCACAGAACTTCTGTTGTTAATTGTTTTTTTTTCCTGAAAATATCTGTCAGTAAGATTTTTTTTGTTAATATTTTCAGATTTGATTTTTGGAGAGGGGTCAGATGTCAATACCATCAGCGTCAGTCTGGTTCCAGATGACCTACCAGAGGGTCCGGAATCGTTTCTGGTGAATCTGACCGCAATTGAGCTACTACAACCCGTGTAAGTATGCCCAGAAATCGAGGCTGATGATTGGGAACTTTGCGGATTATTACAATTATTATATATGTATCTGTGTAGAGTTTTACTGGCTTAAGCATCATCTTGGTGGGGCTAGTTTTGAATCCCTCATTTTGCTTATTCATTTTCCTCCAGCAATAATGACTACTCTCAGCGGGACGGCCTCGCACTGGACATGCCACCCGTGATCGGCCCGTTCAGCGAGAAGACTGTCACCATAGCGGCCAACGACAATGCCCAGGGGATCATTGAGTTTGCCCAGGGGAACGTCTTTGAATGTGAGTGGTTAGATACCACAGAAAGAATGCAGTTCAAATGTTGTGTATAATGTGACTTCGTAAACAAGCGCTACGTAGGACAAGTGCAGTTGTGTATTTGTAATGTGTTTCTCGCTTTCACCGAGCGGTGTATTTGCTAAGTGCTGTCTCGTTCATCATGGGGACTTCTCTGTTGATGTATTGAAATTTATGACACTGGTACTTGCATAAATGAGACACAGGGTGTATACGTTATTGTTTTGTTGGCAGCACTTTTGGATTCCGCTGTTTGGAGCCCTCTTACTTGTACAGTTGGTCACATAATTTAACAATGTAGGGTGGAAGAATTTGGAAACGTTTTCATTTTTCCGTTGATGATTAAACCAGGAAACCAAACTGGCTGAGTGTAGCTTGTAACTTGCAGGCACCAGAACACGTTACTGTCAATCTCTTGACTGAGCTATCGTGCTCTGTATTGGCAGCCTGGAGTTTGCCGTCTGAAACCAGTTGAATATTTTTTTGTCACTTTTATTTGACTTTCGTTCTGTTTGATGTTTTGTCAACTCTGTTTGTAGTTTCTGAGGGTGTGGGCACAGCCATCATTCCTATCGTCCGCACAGCTGGGACCTTCGGCCTGGTCCAAGTCTCCTTCACGTCCAGGAACCTGAGTGCCACGCCTGGAGGCGTGGACTACTCCCTGACGGATGGCTCCGTCAGCTTCCTGAATGGCCAATCCCAGGGAGCCATCAATGTGGCCATCATTGATGATCAGCTCAAGGAGTTTGCGGAGGTCTTTGAGATCATGCTGACGGGGACCCAAGGGGGTGCTGTGCTTGGCCGCAACCGGACAGCCACAGTGGTTATCCTTAAGAGCGACGGTCCGGACGGCCTGATTGGGTTTTCAGCCACCCAGCTGGAAAGGGTCATCCCCAACCCAGGCAGTAACCGAGATATTGAATTCACCATTGAGCTATCTGGTGGAATTGACCAGTACCTGACTGGGGCTGAGGTGAGTTCCACTGGATCTGATAACTGACCAATCTCAATCCTATGAATAATAAAAACCTATCCGCCTCGAGCAGAAGCACCCCCTCATTGGGCGAAAATAGTCAGGAGTATTCATTTTGTTGGTAGTGATGCGGATACGTTCGTGAACCAGCGATGCACAATTAGTCCCAAAGGAGCCTCCATTGCTAGGGAAATAGCGCCCTCTCTTGGTCCAGCTTGATGCCCATTAAAATAAACACTCGCCATTTCCAATGCCATCTTCCTCCTAGGTCCGTTGGCAAATTCTGGGCCCCAACTCCCAGACCCTCCCGCCGGACACCGGCGACATCTCGACTGCTGATGGCCAGCTCCAGGGCTCGGTGACCTTTGATCCCGGCCAGCGGGGTGCCAAGAGCTTCACACTGCGGGTCAAGCCGTACCCAGGGCCTGAGGTGCAGGAGACATTCATGGTGGAGATCTACCAAGTTGTAGGGGCAGGGGAAATCAGCGAGGAGGCAGGCCGTGCCACGCTGAAGGTATGTTGGAGTCCAATCAACAGCTATTTGTGTTCCACTGGTCGACTTTCCCTTGTACCCTGTGCACGCTACATATCTTGGGTACCAGGCAAAATTGACCTGTGGTCGACATATGGTCCCGGATCAACCTTGCCTTGTGCAGTTGGGAAAACAGTTTTGTGGAATGCCATATTTTCCCGATGGTTTTCCAATCCAACGTGCCACTTCAAATGTCTGAAGTTGGGTTTAGTCCAGTGTTACTCTCCTCCTCTACGGCCAGGGTTCAAATCTCACCCAGGCTGATTTTTGGAGGGGATTTTCAGTTCCTACCCAGCTCTGTGGCCAAGCCCCCAGGTTTTGAGATTTCCCCCATTTACCTGCTGTCCTTTCCCCAGGGCCCCTAAAGAGAACAGGTTTTTATATTCTGAAAGGGCTACCCAAGTTTATGAATAATAAATAGATGAATAATTTAATCCCTGCTGCTCCAGAGTTGTTCTAAATTGGGTAAGTATGTACGTCAAATTTAGTGAGTAGTTTTTGAAGTGATTTTCTCAGACTTATTTCCTCTCTTTCTCAGCCTACTTTACAGCTTTTCAGCTGAGGGATGTTAGCTGTTACAATGCGATCGATGACGTCAGGAAACATTTCTGATCACACTGTGTTCTTCCCTCTCTTCATTCCCAACCCGCAGGTCCTCAAGCACGGAGACCCCAACGGCGTGGTCAGGTTCTACGGGGAGTCCATTAACCCGCGGAGCTTTGAGGAGCCGGTCGACGGTGGGTCGCTGAAGGTGTCCTTCCCTCTCAGGCGACGGGAAGGCGTGGTAGGTGACATCAGGGTAAGTTGAGGCACCTCCGCAGTAAATATCAGCTTGAAGCGATATCAATAACATGATATCCAAGGCTTACCTTGCCAAAATTTCATGGAAAATCTGCTTAGTTTAAGAAAAGGAACAGGTGTGTTGCTTCATGACCTGTAAAAAGAAAAATTAATGTGGAGCACTGATCTCATATCTGTTGTTTCTCTACGTTCTTCGAACCTTCATGAAGACTTTGCACTGTCAGAAAATGACATTTGGCCTCATAGACATTCAAGATGGATATATTGCCTGGAATGAGAAGCCTGCTCGAAAACGTGTCACTGCTTGATTTTGCCAGTGAAATTTTTCTGAAGTAAGAAATTCACCGCTGAAAATCGTGAACTTATTGTTCTCGGCAGGTGTACTGGGAGGTGCGAGACGCTAGGGGTTTAGTAACTGGGGACGTCTCGCCCGTTAACGGCAGCCTCCTGATCCCCGATGGCGTGGCCAACACCCAAATACTGCTTGATATGCTACCAGACCAGACGCCTGAGCTGCAGGAAACCTTCCGTTTGGTCCTGGTGTCGGTGGATGGAGGGGCAGAGATTGACCCCCAGTTCAACACCTCCACTTTTTACATCCAGTGAGTCTTCCAACGTGGTCACAATCGAGTCCATCACAAGTCATCTGGTCACTAGTCTAGCCACAAGCTGATTCACTTGACCCGCGATGAAAGCATTCCTTTTTATTGTTCACCCCGTGTCTTGTGGCAAGACTTGTGAAAGGACTCGTGGAAGAACTTGTGGTGGACTTCGCTAACGACACTGTCTACAGAATCAGTCAGATTATAGCATCGCGTACACATGTTCCACTTTTTCAATCTCTCTGATCCGTATACCCACAGTGAGGTTCATTATCTACCACCGTGTTTCACTCAGCCTGTATCATAGATAAGTCAAGCTTGCATGTCCAAAGAGGTTTGGCTGTGCAGCCCGTCGCAAGTGGTTATTTGTCAGCACAGTGAAGATCCATTTGAATGTTTGATGCTGTCCAAACTGTATCATCATCACAAGAAATATTTATTTGAACTCAACAAACAAAACACAAACAGTTTAAAAAAGAATAAGACCGGCTATTATCTACAACAGAAAAATGATCGAAATTAAAGGTAAAGTGGAGAAGACAATAGTAGCATGTCTGAAATATCCCATATTAAGAGCGTGTGCGTAAGAAAAAGAGTCGGTCTTAAATCTGTTTTATGATTTAGCTGAAACAACAGTATGCTTAAGTTTTGAGCACGATCAAGATATTGAACCCTGACTGTTGATGCCAAAGTTACTAACCTCATGCATGGACTTCTGAAAATACCTCACTTGAATAGTTCTCAATCCACTGAACTTTTTTCCTAACACGATGGCAGGTAGACCTAGGCCGTGTCTGGCTTCCAAAGCTATGTCTGTTATCAGCACTCACCCTCGCACTTGCAACCGGCAAAGATCTAGACCCAGCAATTGGTGGAAGAGCTAGGCATAGCCTCATCTGATCGCAGTGCTGAATTTTTAGAGGAACGTTTTCCTTTTCTTTGCCAGACCCAATGACAACCCCCACGGTGTGTTCAGCGTCCACCAGGAGAACCAGACGGTCGGCGTCAATGCCAACATGAGGCGGTACCTGCAGATCCTTGTCACGCGCGGCGCAGGCACCGAAGGCGACGTCGCAGTGACCTTTGAGCTGAAATACAATGACGTAAGCAGTGTGCACACTCCCTGTTCTTCCATAGCAGTGATAGAGCCCTGTACTATTGATGCCACACTTTGGGGCTCTGTGAACCATTGGCCCCGTCTTTCTCCTAGGAAAGTGCACACCTGAATGAAGTGTAATGCCGCCAGCACATAGGCTTATTGTAATGGTCAGTCATCATCAAGGCTTTCAGAAAGCACCCTCAATTTTTAGTCAGAAGAGGGAAAGAAAAAAAAGCCATTTACTGTAAACTGAGTCAGCAGAGCGTTAAGGAGGAGAGGCCATTTGGTGGTAGCGCGTCGTTGAAAAAGTTGACATCCATGCGCCAGATGGACTTATTTTGTGCAGTCCCTTAGCAACCTTTAGATTTCTTGATTTGTAAGATTTTGGTTGGAATTCTCGTGTGTGTCATTGACGAGCTCATTTTTCACTCCTCTAGAGGGCTGCTGACAGAAGGCTGAACATAAAGCTTGAACGACTTTAACAGGCACTCATACAATACAATTTTATAATATTTTCTTGTTGGGGATCTATCTTTTTTAGGGAATAACTGGTGCTTATGTACCGAGCAGTGGTTCCGTCGTCTGCCAACATGGAAATATCTTTGTAAGTAGTTCTAAAACAATTTTAGATCTTTTCTTAATTACAGCAGAATTATTTCAGATTTTTGTATGAATCTCTTTGTAGTTTTTCGGAAGGAGTTGAATGAATGCTATGATGATAATCTGTCCATCCAATTAGAGCTGTGTAGTCCTTTCATAAGGTTTTGCGATAGTGTTGCCCTTCCCTCAAGACAATTCCGGCCCCCGTGTGATTCATCTTTGCACATTGTTCTTAGAAATCACTCATTTGAGTCCTAATGCATTCCCTTCGCTGAGCTACCCGAAGCAGCTCAACCTGTACACCATCAGTGTCTCAGAAGACAGCCTCTGGCCTTAATTTCTGTCACATCTCCTTGTTTCTGGCACGTTGAAGCCTGTTGATGTTCCTGTTTACGTTTCCGTCTTCTTGTTCTGAAATTTGCAGTGCACAAAAGATGTTCCGTTGCTGAATAACGACATGTTCTTGGAGAGGGATACATCATTCAACGTCACCCTGACCGGACTTAGTTATCAGACACCGGGAGAAGGTAAGAACACAATGGGTGGTTTCTTGATCAAAGTTTGATCATGTAATTGACCCAGGTTTAAAAGACGGGAAGAGCGCAAATTTTGTCAGCTTATAATATTAGACCAACACATTGGTATTGCTTCCTCTTCTGTCAACTGTTCAGTAGCAGAATTTCCTTTGCTGAGTGCCAGATTTTATGACGTTTCTTGTTTTGGTTTTTTTTTTTCAGTCACCATTCCTCCGGTCCTGCTGCCTGGTGCGAAGAGCGCTCTCATCGTGGTGCCCCAAGAGGCCGCCAACTCGTTTGTGGGGTTCAAGTTGGACGCCACCACCGTTGACGACAGTAAGTCGCACGATGTTCGGGCGCCACTTCCGGTGCCTGTGAATTTTGCTCTATTTCCCACGGCAGCGGATTTCAAATCTATTTTGCAGTGCGCAGTCAAAAGCTCTTGCCGCGCACTTATATTGAAATCTCAGAGAAGAAGCTTATACCAAATTTTAATGAACAGAATAAGCCTATTCCTCACTTGTTTGTGAAATCTGTATTGATATCGGTACAAACCTGTTCCCCATAACAAGGGCATAGAAATAACTGTATGCTTCAGAACTGACTGCACTGTATCCAACTTTCATTTGTTGCCTTGTCCTTACAGTATCCTATCGTACCATTCTGACCGTCGAGCGCATTGGGTCCTATGGGACAATTAATGTTCTGTGGGAGGCCGGCTACCCGTTGGCTGAGCTCCCCCAAGGTTACCTGCAGGGGGCCGTGTCGCAGCGGTCTGGCCAGCTGAACATGGCCGACGGGATGTCTAAAATCACGCTGCCCATTGTGGTAAGTCCAGAGAACTGGAGAGTTGAGCCTTGGACTACATTTGGTCTGCAACATTATCCCTACCCACCCCCTCCAAAGTCTTTCACTATAAAACAGTCGTTCAGCAATGTTTAGCTAAGATCAGTTTGGAACGTGTCATAGACAAAGGGCTTGTTTCAATGTTTGCCTTATGTTAGAGTGGCGCTTAGCTTGAGAAAAGTTCATGGGTAAATCATTTCAGCTGAGCAGAGTAAAACTCAATTTCCATTTGTATGTTGATTTATTCGTCATAATTCATTCATGAAAGGTATTTTTGCTATATGTAGTTTAACAGGGCAACATCAACTGATAAATGTTCTCAAAGATTGACCCCATTTCACTGAAATAGGAGATTGCAATTGTATTTATTGATTATGAGCGAAGCCCGGCTTGTACTCTCCATCAGCAGGCTGAAAAATTTCATTTTAATGGTACAATAAAAGCCCATAAATGAAGTCACCTGAAGCAGCTTCACAGGTCAGCAGAACATTGAGTGGGTCGTTGTAAAACTCAAGAAAAAACAACTTTTTGAAGGCTTTCTTTCTCTAGAGCCAGTAGCCCCACTGGCATAAATTAGATTTCCTAAAGTGAAAGTGGAGTAGTTTTTCCTCGACTCAACGAGTAGTTGGTCAGAAATCAGTCTGGTTTTTTTTTGTTCCTCTCTCTCAGCTCAATCCTAGTGGCAGTCCCAACGAGCTGTTTGCCGTCCACCTGACAAGCACCCTGACCACGGCCGAGGGCGGGGCCAGGTTGAGGGAGGGGCATACTACTGTACCCATTGAGCCTTATGGGGTGCTGGGCTTCTCCCCTGGGTCCAGACAGGTCTCTGTGTCAGAAGGCAGCGGGGAAGTAAGTACTTGCCAGTCAGATATTTAATATTCATATATTCAAATCTCTAAATTTAAATGTTTAGTATTCATTATATTTAAATGAAGTATTTACAGATATTATTGTAACAAATTTCTTGTTTACCAAAGCCCATTTTCTTTTTAATCCACAGCTGTCTCTGATGGTAGAACGGCAGCTTGGCACCCTGGGCAGCGTACGCATGACCTACCAGACCCACGCTGCCTCAGCCGTGTCTGGGGAGGACTACGTGGCCATCACCAGCGGTGCCCTCACTATGGCTGCCGGGGCCCGCACGGCGGCCATCTTGGTGACCATCCTAGAGGAGCAGGAACCCGAGCTGGCCAAGATCTTCTATGTCAACATCACCAGCGTAGCCCGGTTACCCATCGATGGAACACAGGGTGAGTGGTACAACTCAAGGTACATTTAAAGTGCCCATGGGACGGATTTTGAAATACATGAATTTTAAAAGTGCCCTGTTGTGTTCAGTTAACCTTTAGTTTTAACGTTAGGATGCTTTTTCCATTCTGATTTAAAAGTCAGTTAAAAATTTTTATTCTAATTTTAATTACCATATTCATGAGCAAAAGAGTGATGTCATCTGAGGCCAAAGCTTCATTGTCACAACACAAATGTTCTCAGATATTTTGCTGTATACTGAAGTCATCTATGTTTGCTGTAGTGTGTCTATTATTTTGGCATGGTGACCACTCCGACAGCAAACTTAATCTACAGTGAGGCATGTGTCCTTGCATGCTGATTTGTACAGAAACTCCAAAACTATAAAATGATTGCCCAAATTGACATGACAACAGCGCCTTTATTGTTTCAAGAAATGGTACGTGCATTCCAAATAGTGAAAAGGACACTTTGGAGCAAAGCCCACAAGCTTCAAAATCTTTGGTTTAGTTCCCTGAAGCAATTCCACCAGTCCTGTAACTATTGTCTCATGGAGTGGTGTATGTGATTCACCCTGTTGCCCCACCCAGGTACCAGCCCAAGACTGAGCTCTAGGTTCCCTGTCTCAGAGGTGACTATCCAGGGCAGCAATGATCCCTACGGCGTGTTGAGCATGAACCCCGATGTGATCGAGATAGCTGAGAGTGAAGCCACCTGCAAGCATGTCACACTGAACATTCAGAGATCAGGTAGGAGCGTGTACATGTGAACTCCCAAAAAAAGGGCGGACGACACTCAGCCCCCTCCTCGATGCTTTCCCGATTTCACTGCCATAGTGTGTTTCATGCCGTGTCATTTTTTTACAAGAGTTTTTATAAAATTTGGACTAGTTTGGAAAGGTTCCTCCCATTTTGTTCACAGGAATGTGGCAGCTACCAGACCTAAAGATCTCGCAAAGAAGTCTAGATCTTTTAGTCTGCAAACCAGATCAGATGTGGACATGTGGTTTTAATCATCTGTCAATTTTTTATTGAAGAGTGCCAATAAATTACCGTAAGTGCTTCTCTTCACAGGAAGGAGTGCTGATTTCTATTAACCAGAAACGTAATTGCCTGAAACTTTTTTCAGGTGGCACCCATGGGGAGGTCGGGGTCAGAGTTCGGACCATTGGCGGAGGGGAGCCCTGGCAGGGTAGTGTGACCCCCCGCCCCTCCGATACCACCAACACCGTGGAGAACGCCCTGGCTAATACCCAGGACAGACCCCATGCCACGGCTGGTCAGGACTACCGAGAGGTGGACATGGAGATCACGTTCCGGGTGAGTCTCGTCCCACCACACCGTGACACTTTAGGATTTTAGGCTGTTAAAGGGTCTGTTTGAGCTTACTTAGAAAGCAGATGGTCTTGAGATTTGTGAGGCAGTATTTGAATGAGTTATCCACAACCTCATGTCACATGGTATCCACAACCCCATGTCACATGGTATCCACAACCCCATGTCACATGGTATCCACAACCCCATGTCACATGGTATCCACAACCCCATGTCACATGGTATCCACAACCCCATGTCACATGGTTAAAGTTATTACAGGTTTGTCTTAATTCTTCAGAAGCAAGTAGTAAGTCGGAAGTTTTTCTCACTAGCAGACCAGTATTTCCACCCCTACCCAACCCCCCCAGAAATTGTGTGTTTTATGTCAGTCTTAATAAGTTCAGAGTTTCGCAACAAATATGCTTCGTTCAAAAATCACCTTGATTTTCGTCCACAAGCTTATGCACTGTGTAAGTGTGGCGATATCTTCCTCAATAAATTGGTGCAGAACTTCACAGTAAAGATAAAATGACAACCTTTGAGTACAGTGAATAAAATTGACGGCATGTGCCAGAGAAAAATTGCTCTAGACTTTGCCAACATCGTCTGGGTTCATCTGTCGACAGGACGGAGAAACTGAGAAGAGCTTCCAGGTGGAGGTGTGCGACGACGGACTAGCCGAGCCAGCCGAACTGTTCTTTGTCTACCTGTCAGAGCCCACAGGAGGGGTCCGCATTGCCCTGGGCCAAAGCGATGGTGGACTCAAGGTAGGACCAGCAGTTAACTAAGTTTTGCATCTCATAAGATGAGATTAAAAGGTGTCTTTATGCAAAATATAATGTGAAAGCATTTAGTACTGATTGCATGGTAGGGCATTCTCTCTCTGGTATTATGACAACGTTTAGTGTTATGTCTCTATCATGTTGTAGTTGAGTCCGTCCATGGGCTTTGCCAAGATTTTTTTCCCCCGGGGAGGAGGCCAAGATTATTTCTCGGGAGGTACAAATTACTCACCAACAAATGGATAAACCATTCATGGTAGAACGGGTATATTTCAAAGACCTTTCAAGGGAATTGGTGATTTTAATCTTGTTATTCCCTTTTTTGTTTGTCTTTTCTTTTTCTTCCATTTTTAAGTTTTCAATAAGTATTTTTTTGGGGGGAAAGGGCCACTCCTACCCCCCTCAAGATTGCCCTTGCATCCACCACAAGTCCCCAACAAGCCATACAGTCACATACTACTCAACGGAGGTGTCACACAGGCATCCCCTTTACAATGGTTCACTTAACGCTTGTATCCACCACAAGTCCCCAACAAGCCATCCAGTCACATGCTACTCAACGGAGGTGTCACACAGGCATCCCCTTTACAATGGTTCACTTAACGCTTGTATCCACCACAAGTCCCCAACAAGCCATCCAGTCACATGCTACTCAACAGAGCTGTCACACAGGCATCCCCTTTACAATGGTTCACTTAACGCTTGCATCCACCACAAGTCCCCAACAAGCCATCTAGTCACATGCTACTCAACAGAGCTGTCACACAGGCATCCCCTTTGCAGTGGTTCACTTAACGCTTGTGCTTGGTCTTGTGAAAGGGCTCGTGATGGAGTCGACTTCAACGCCAGTTTCTTCTGCATTTTTTCAACTTCAATATTTCATTTGCCGCTTCCTCCTATTCAGGGGTTCACTCACTTCACCATTGTCGGGAGTGACAATTTCAACGGGGTGATCAGCTTTGCGCAAGAATCGAGGTTCGTGACCGTTGACGAGGATGCCCAGCCCTCTGTTACGCTCACACTTGATAGAGGGCAGGCTTTCTTTGGCGAAGTCACAGTAAGTCTTCCCTCAACCATCATTTTCTCATTGAAGTTTTGTGAAAAGCGTGACTCACTTTGAATGTCTGGAAAAGATTATGATTGGTGATCAGGAAGATTATGCCAATTTCAGGTGGAGTGGCGAGCGACGCACAGTCCCATCGGAGACATCACCAATGATGCTGATCTCTACACACAACTCGAGGAGGCGCAGGGCATGGTGACGTGCCCTGCCGACCAGCGACAGTGCACGTTTGACATCACTCTTCGACAAGATGAGGTGGGTACAGTACGATGCGTACAGTACGATTGTTGCTTGGTACAAAGTGAGCACCATTTTGCAACATGTTTTTTGGACATAGTTCGACTGTTTCCCATAATGCACTCCAACAAAAGTCAGACTATGTCCAACTAATAACAGCTCTCCTGTTTGGTGAAATACTCCTTCTTGGTGTCTGTCTGGACCACAGGAGCCTGAGTTTACTAGCTGGTTTCTGGTGGAGTTGGTGGGCGTGGGACAGGGAGCCAGTCTGGACACAGCCCAGCGGTTTGCCAACGTTACATCATCGGACAGTGACTATCCGTATGGCCTGCTGCAGTTTACTATGGACACCAGGTAAGCCGTGTCGCGCACCGTCACAAATACCTCGTCTAAAGCTTATGCCCAATTTTGCAACGTTTCCACAGGAGTAAGAAGAATGCAGGGAACACTAAGCCTTCTTTGTTGCTGCTTGCAGGTTCCAGTCGGTTCACAGCAACACAAAGCGTGTCAGCTTGCGCGTGGAACGAGTAGGCGGTAGCACCAGAGACAGTACTGTGTCCTGGGGGACACTCCAGCTCGACGCAACTGTCCAGTTGGCCGGTCTGACCGCTTACCCGGCCATAGCAGAAACCGACTACGTGAGCGCTTCAGGCGACTTGGACTTCAGCTCGGGCGTCCGGCGGATACCAGTGGATGTGGTCCTTCTCCCAGAGACGCCCGCCTCCTCAGCTGAATACCCGAAGCTGCTACGGGTTGAACTGACGGGGGCTACCGGTGGGGCCCTTATCCACACCCAGCATGGTGTGGCCAGCATCACCCTTGTTGAAGACGAGCGGACGGCCGACATCTGGGACAACCGTTACAGTGCCCTCATGGGCCTGAGCGACGACAACATCTACAACGTCCTCCTGGGCATGGCCGAGCACATCAGGGGCCAGCTGACCGAGGAGCAGCTGGCCGTCGTCACGGATACCATTCGGATGGTCGTCGCCGAGGGGGGACGGAGGAAATTACCTAGCAACCTGCTCAGTCAGCTGATGGATATCTACTGTGTTTTGATGAATCCTGAACGACTAGACTCAAGGTGTGCTGACTAATCTTAATTTTTTAGAATTAATGTCAAGGGCCTTGACCACCTTACCTGCATTGTGATTTTACCCCTTACTGCATTGAAAATACTATTTTGGCAATTTCAAGTTCACAGGTACCAAGTGAATGATCCATTACAAGATTACCGGTATAATGTCATTTTGGCACAATAAGAGAATGATTTTTTTGCAAAAACTGGATATAAATGAAAATAGAACTTTCAGTCAAGTTCTTGGAGATTAACTGGCAGGGGATTCAGCTTATAGGGATCTTCCTTTTTTAAATTGTTCGATTGGGCTTTTTAAGTATGCCATATTAGGGGGCTCTTTGCTCAATTTTGTACCCAAATTTGAAGCACCACCTAATTACAATATCGTGACACCAGAATTTTTTGCATGATATTCATAGCAAGTTCCAGCAAGATGACGGTGCCTTTATTTAACTGACTAAGTCTGAAGATCATTCAGTTCAAAGTTCATGAAAGTTTGGGAGAAAGTTTCAGTGTGTTTGCTTGAGCCCTCATGCTTCATAAATCCTTTTTGATAAACTCTGCATGCCCAGGGGCGCATACCAGCTGGCAGAATCCTTCAGTTCGTTTGCCTTCGTCCTCGTGACGGACCTGCCCTGTGAGACGACAGACCTCCAGACACTGTCCTGCGATCATGCCGTGGTGGAGACAGGGCGATGGTCTCGGGGTAGAGTCAACGGCCACAACTTCCAGGGAAAGTAAGCCACCGACAGAAGAGATTGAATGATATTGTAACAGACCTGTAACTATTAGTATAAATGGGTTATCGACTAACGTCAGTACTTATTATTGTCTGTTTGGTGATACCTGTGTCAGTTTTTTTCAGCCATCGCTTTGCTTTTTCTGTTTATGAGCTGAACTGTAAACTGACTTATGATTTGGCTCGCGATTGACTTGTGATAGGCTGGTTCATAGCTTTGGCCTAGGTAGCATCAAAGAGGTGCTAAGCCCAGAATATTGGTAAGCACAAAATATTATATTCTCAGCAAAAAATAGGTCACCAGCTAAGGTTTCATGCAAAACATAGTACTCAAGACTTGTTCCCCGCTCGTTTTGCCGTAGCACAAAAATCTACCAAGCAGTGTTTTTCTGCCCAGTGGCTCCAGGGCACTGGATCCTGGTTGCAGGATCCAAAAGGTGTTTGACATACTCTGGGTACCAGACTGAAGCTTTAGTCGAAGATGATGACCTCTGGCTAGGGCTAGGGCTGTCCACTGTGGCAGACTATTGGCAGAACCAAAGTCTTCGCCTGAACTACCTGATATGGTAAACATTGCCTCAAGCCTTATCTCCCTGGTTCCCTTCCCCAGAGGACAGAACAGCTTTACCATGCCAGCGGAACTGCTGGACACCAGTGCTTCCTCGTCTTGTGAAGACATTCACTTCATCGAGTACAGCAGCCAGCAGTGGTTCTACGGGATTGACCAATCCTCTACTCTCAATAACCAGGTATCGATAGGCTTTCTAAATATGATCGGGCATTCCTAAAAGTTTTACTGACATTCTAGTTGAATGGCCAACATGATTTGGGGAAGAAAAACCCACCTACTTACATTTTACGCTCATATTTTCCAGGTTTTGTCGGTAGCCATCAAAGGGGCAGAGCAGAATTTCACCAGGCTGTCCAGCCCGGTCACTTACCGCATCTATGCCGACAACGCCCGGGTTACCCCCCTCGGAGCCAGCTGCGTCATCTTCAACAGACCCACAGAGCGCTGGAAACCCGACGACTGCCAAGTCCTGGTAGGTCTTGACCGTGGGTTTGATGATGATGCTTTGATGTCAGACAATCCTGTTGATTCAGTAATGCGTGAGGGGACAGGTCTTTTGATAGGTCAGTCCGTTACGGGCAGATGACATGTTTCTGCATGTTTTTGATGAGAGAAGTGCTGTGAATGGCTGTCACACTTTAGAGGCATCAGTCGGAGCCTGCTATAGGTCAATTCTCTGTCCTGTCCTTTGTTCACAGATTGATCAGGGTGCCTATGTGGAGTGTTCGTGCACTCACCTGTCTGACTATGCAGCCCAAGGCGAGACAGATAACCTGGTTGGCTACAACGTCTACATCTATGCATCTTGTTTTATCTGCATTGTAAGTAGAAAAAATGCGTAGAGTTTATCAAACAGGAAAGCTAATTCCTCATGACCAAAAAAATGAATTGGTTCCCCACCGTCCATGTTTTGGCAAAAACAATTCCCTAGTCTTTAGTACCATATGCCAACTTGCGCGAGAGGCTAAGCAGTGATCTATGTTTTTAATACTTGACAGTTCAGTGTTCCCACAAATGGCAATTTTGTGGATCTTATTAAAATAGTTCCTCTTTCTAAATATGGTTATAGAAATATTTGAAGAAGTTTTATTGTTTTATCATGAAATTTTTATTGTCCATTTAGCTTATGTGGTACACTAAAGAAATGACTATTTCTAAAATGAATTGCCTTTTTGACAGTTGAGTTTAATATGTCCTTTTCCATGAGATGCTGAACGCACTTAACCTCTGTTCACCATGCCTATGTTATTAATTTACAAATTCCAAACTTCGAAAACAGCGTGCAATGAAACCTTTTATTTTATACATTTCTAAGTGACGTAGTTGCCACTTTTACCTGTTCGAACAAAATCAGTATTCTAAAATTTGTGAGAACAGCAGGAATGAAATTAATCAGCCAAACACAGATCCACCAACATGAAGGACTTGTTTCATTCTCTCTGTGCAGGTGGGCCTGTTGTGTGCCATCATTGCTCACGTCGTCTGCTCAGTCTACTCCATGTTCTCGGCCAAGCTTCTCATGCATATGTGCTTTGCCTCTATGTCACTCCAGGTAAGAACAGCATTTGTAGATGTGCTTCATGCTTGATGCTGTTTTGAAATTTGGGAGAACAAAAATCCATGACCTTGGCCACGTAAGAGCAATTGCATCTTGTATAAAACCAGATGGAGTAATCAGTGATTCCAAGATGGTTCTCTCCAACAAATGCCTACAGAAAAGTACAGAGCTCAAATCTTAAGCCTTGGTCTTCCAGATCCTTCAAAGAAACCAGTAAGAAGTTTGGAAGATTTTGTAGGATGTAGGAAGATAGAGCCAAGCAAGTGTTACCTTGCATGATGCTCCATTGTCCGTTGAAAGTTCGAAGACTGTGCCATTAGTTCCCTGCAGAATCAGTGGAGGATTTTGAAGAATCAGAGAATTCAGAGAGAGCTAAGATATTTATTGGCATATTGATCTATCCAACTGTTCTCTCCTCAGATTGAGTGAGATTCCCAGCAAGAGTTCTGAGGGAGCTAGGATTGTTATTAATTGGAAAATAACCTGTCCACCTGTTCTCTCCTCAGATCATCTTTGTCATCTCGGCGTATGTGAGTAGCTTCGTCTCTGCACCCTCCTGTGCTGCCCTAGGGGTGCTGATCCACTTCTTCTTCCTGGCACAATTCACTTGGATGCTCGTACAGGTGAGGACGGACCCCCAGACTGTTCACGTCTTGCGGGTACCTTCAAATGGACTTTATACCCAGAACACCTTTTAACAGACAGCTCCACAGGTGCAAAAGAAGCAGTAGATGTAGCCTTGTTGATTTTAACCCTACTGTCGCACAGTACTGCCCAAAACTCCATCCCGTGGAAGGTTGGATCTGTTACAGGAGTGGTGTCCGAGAAGGTCACACCCCCTTTCCTTCTTGCCTGACCAGTGATTCACATATTGCTTATTCCCCCAAACATGTCTGCCCTGACATGAAGTCCAGATAACATAGCAAATCTCAATAACACTCTCAAAGGCATTTGGTCTGAGCCACACCCCGTTGGCAGTTCCTGGCTCTGTCTTCGATGATCCACTCACTTTACCTGTCAAAGTTGCCAGACAAGTTTGGTGGCCCAGTAGTCGAACATTGACGGCAACAGGACAAGTTAGAAACACGTCAGCAGTTAATTGCCCGCAGCAATGACAGCTTCTGGATTTTTGTCCGTCAGCTGGCGGGTTCGGTCCGATGATTGCGTCTTGCTATTTACAAATTTCTATGTGGATTTGATCCTAAAAGGTAACAAGATCTACAGTTGTGTACAGTGGCAAGTTACTGTACTCTCCTCATTGCTAGTAAAGCAAAGCATGCGTTAATTGTCCCCAATGTTGTTATTTTGCTGTGCTGTCTGTTAAGTTAACTTTCTTCATGTTTGGTTGTCTTCAGGCATTCAATTTGTGGAAGGTGTTTGTGATCAACGATGAGCACACCGACAGATACTACATTCTGTTTATTGTCATCGGCTGGTGTGAGTAGCTTCATCCTTCATCCTGTCTGGATAACCTCTGTTGAGGGCTGCATTCATGTTTATGCCATGGATGTCATATAAAAATTCTAGACTCGCAGTGCTTTTACGCTGCTTTCATTGGTTATTGAAGCCACCGGTGGCCATATTACCATGCCAAATACAGAGCTAATACAATGGCTTGCTCACCATTTTTGAACAAATCGTTCAAGGCAACAAAAGTTACAATGGCACGCAAGCCAACAACTACCTTTGTATTTGGCACGGCAAGATGACCTCCTTTGGCTTCAGTTGATACAAGAACATTGTGAGTCCAGATTTGTTGATATGATTTCGATGGTTCATGCTGTGTACTGTGTAAAAGAACTTTCTACAATTTTATATCAACCATCTTGAATTTTAATTTGAACTTTGGATTGATATCTTTATGAGTTCAGGAGATTCAAAGTTTGGCTTTCTGCACTTAGAAATGCCTCCAGTGAGGGTCTGCCCTTGGACTATTTTAGATATTTTCCATGTAGATGATGCTAACTGATGCTGTGTTGGTTTGCTCCTCAGGTTTGCCCGTTGTGGCTATTGTCATCTACGTGGTGATAGCATATGCCGCATTGAACTGGCCATTCCTTGGTGTCACGTATGGAGATGTGCACCTCAATGGAGACATGTGAGTGCATATCTTGCGGCCTCGTGTACACCTTTTTTATTGAACAAGTGTTGAAATGTTCATTGACAGGTTTTAGTAAGTGCACTGTGTCACGTAATCTCTTTAAGATAGCTATGGTCTGGGAAAGAGGTTGAACGTTGAAAACTTGCAGAGTGTTGTCGTTTCCCTCAAATAACCCAAATGACACAAGACTGTAAGAATAAACAAGGATTGGATGAAATTCAGTACTATGTTTGAAAAAGGAGATGAGTGGAACAGGATTTGAACCAGAGACCTCTAAAATGCAGTATCATTACTCTACCAGCTTTCAGTGGCCCCTCTTGATCAAAGACTTGAATAAATGTGGAAACAGCCAACCTTGAGCGGGACAACTTAGTTGGACATAAGTGCTGGGTGACCACGGTTCTCCCAACTTCCTGTCACCGAGATTCATATCGGAACAGTTTTGGAACAAATTTCATGGAAGTTGATGAAAATCTTCACCACAGGTCCTCTGTTTTGTTTGGTTTGGTTCCTCAGTTGTTTTATGCCTAACGGCTACGCAGCCTTAGCCAGCGTCGTTGGTCCAGCTATCCTGTGTCTCTTTGGTGTGGCAACCTTCTTCATCCATGCTTACCAAGTCAAGCCGCAATGGAAGCGATACGATGACATCTACATGGGCAGTTACAACACCACCGGTTAGTCCGTTTACTAAGACTCTACAAATTGGTTTATCCCCACAATACTTGTCACAACATTAGTTTTGGCCACATTTCTTGAATATCCACATCTCGTAGGTTTTGAATGGTCATGAGGCAGGTCTATAAATAGCTATTTGTGATAAGCAGAAAGATGCATATTAGTCGCGAGGTCAAAATACAAACGGTTTATGAAATATCCGATGGGTCATTAAAGGTAAACCTCAAACGATGAGTGAACTATCAAATCTTTGATGTGCTCACATTCAGTTTGAACACCAAGCTAAGATTTCCAGGGAAGTCATTGTTTTCCACCGTTGCTGTTCTTCTGTCCTACAGAGGTTCAATTACTTCTGGTGTTCTGGGCGATCATCTGCTTGGTCTGTCTCTTCGGCGGCCTTCACATGGCCTACAGTCAGCTCTGGATGCTTATTATCTTTGTCATCTTCAACATTGTCCAGGTAACTTAAGAAATGAAAAATGACCACCTCCCACGTCATTCAGAACAAAGTAAAAACTTCAGCTTCCAACAACATATTTGAGCCTGCTTTTAACTAGCATTTACAATACATTTGATTTTTGTATCACTTGTTATGCTAGAAGCTTTCTAATGCCCACAGGCAAGAGATATATTGCACCCACTATGAATTTGTGCTGTGTCGAAATCAAACAAAAAATCCACTTTTATAAGCATTTCTGATGGCATCCTCAAAGTGCAAATAAATTTGGCATTAGTTGTTCTAATTATTTTTTTCCTGGTAATTTGATTGATCCCTGCCAGGGTTTGTATGCCTTTGTGGTGTACACTGTCCTCCGCAACCAGATCTGCCGTCCCCGGAAGGGCAACTACTCCCTCAACCCGTCTGGCTATGACAACTCGGTCATGCTCCTTGACAACAGCCAGTATGCAGCCAACGGCCTGATGGCAGCAGGCTCGGAGAAGGGGTCCAGGATCCTGCTGACCAAAGCTGAGCAGCCCCCCGGGATGACCCTCATTGGAAGCCAGGACGTGAGTAACGGACAGAAGTCCTCAGTATGTGGTTTAATGCTTTCAGAATATTGACTAATGTCCTCAGAGTGTGGACTCAAGTGCTTAGAGAGCGAAACATTGAAAACAGTAGTTTTGTTGAATGATGTGTCACAGAGAAATAACATTGTGAAATATGAAATCATCTAGGTGTATGGTTATGGCGGCTCAATAGATTAGATGCATGTAGGCTTCAGATGTGTGGTCTGTGACCTGTTAGGTCACTGAGTGTTTGGGGGAATTTTGGCTAAAGAGAAACTGCTGTGGTGTCTTTGTAGTTGGAGTGGGATGCCCAGTCTATTGGTCGGCAGAGCCACCATAGTCATCAGAGCCAACACAGCCAGCATAGCAAGGCCAACCCATCCCAGCACAGTCGGCCGGGCTCGATAGCCAGCCGCGGTGGCGGAGGCCGGCCGGGCTCCGTCACCAACAACCTGTATGCCCCCGGCCCCTTCCAGGACCCGGCTCCGCTCCCCACCCACCACCCCCACCACGATGACGACACCGACTCCCAGGACTTTGACGACCTCATCTTCGCCCTCAAAACGGGCGGGGCTTACGTGCGGGAGGGAGGGGAATCGCGCAGCCGGCCCTCTTCGCGAGTGAGCAGTACTTTGCAGGATGACTCCCAACTTGAGGACATGGATGCGACAGGAGACACTACGCAAGATCATTACGAGATGAGAAGAATACAAATCGCCGATACACATCTTTGATCCCTACCAAACAGGCCAAGTGTATGTAACATGGTCATCAGACTTCCAAGTGAAGCATTTTGGATTTGATCAATATCCACCAACGACCACAGACCCATATGCCTCCCCCTGCTGTGTCTTCATTGAGATGTAGATTCTTCAGATGCACTGTAAATGTGTGACTAAAAATGTCACCATCATTTCATGCTGCCAATTTAGACTTCTGTGCCTGGTCTTGAACTCTGTGCCATACAAGATGCAAAAATATACGAACCCTTGAAATCTTGAGGTGATTGGAAATCGTGGACTGACACCATTTTTGTACTTCGACAAAGACTTCTCTATTTTTGTATGTCATTGCCGTGAATGTGTTTTCTATAGCCACATTTTTTACTCTGTGTGGAACTTTTGTAGTGACTTAGTACTTAAATTGTAGCGTATTCAAATTGTGTACTTAAATTGTAGCGTAATCAAATTGTGTACCAGATTTCTGGAAGAAAATGGAGATAGCTTTTTCTGTCATCATTAAAATTCAATAACTCTGCATTCCTTTCAGAGGAAATTTATGAGTCATACTCAGTACTTTTGCCGATGGTGAGCAGGTTGAGAATTAATAGGCTTAGTACCTCTTTTCTGATGCTGTGTATGAACCTCTTATGTTCTTTTGTAAAATGAACACAGATCACTTGCCCAGATTTTTAATTTGAGATCTTTTTTTTTGCAGAGTTTAGCCTAGCTTTGAAATTATCTGGTACAAAAAACTCAAATTTGACAACAAAACGTTTGATGTTAGTAATAAGAGGCTTCTTTGTGCTGGATAGTTAGGCTGGCACCTACTCTGCACTGGTTTGATATATTCTGAGGTCATGTGCACAGCCTTCAGGATACCAGACAACAATAGCCACAACCACTTGCTGCAATGGGGCACAGATCTGAGCCCCAAGGAATACCAAACAATTCTGATAGTTTCAATGTCTTCATGCATTCGTATAAAAGTACTTCTGTCAAAGCTCTGTAGACATGAAGCATATCGATTGGAAAAAAATTGCAAAATAATTTGTTTTTTAACCTGCACAATACTGTTGCATCCGTCCTGTATTGAAAAAAATTATAAGTTCATAATGTAATACCCGCTAGTTTTGTTCTCTGAGTAAAAGTGTACTGACATATCTTACTGCGAAAGAACACAGTGCATTGACCTTAATTAATTGTTATTTATCACAAAAATGTCAACTATAAAGAAATCCAATCAAGGGATTGCAATTACCAATATCTCCGTCCTATTATCAAATTATTCAGAAATAATTAATTAATCAAAATTATTCAGAAATAAACATATGAATAAAAAATATGAATAAAGGTTATATATTTGCCTGTAATCATGCAGCTCCTTTGAAGCCAAATTGGAAACTTTGAGGAAAAAAATTAATTTCTGAAGTACATAATTTAATTAATTGAATGTCTTATATTTATTTGACTTTAAAGCTAATTTGAATCCTACAAGCATTTCTCAAACATGGGTAGTGAATGACTAGATTTTTAATCCAAGAAGCCTGATTGAGTTTGATTTTTAATAATTTTGCGCTCATACTCAGGATTTGGGGCTGTGGACAAATCACACTATTGTAGCCAAGCAAAATTCATTTTAATAATCCCGTCGTTTTTTCCGTAATCATGTGGGATTTTTTTTGTTCAGAAAAAAAAAACAATGGAGCGCCTAGCCTGAATTGTAATTCGTACGTCACTGTACTTTTCAAACAGAACAGAGCTGATTAAATTAATGTTTGTATTCAATACGAAGAGCGTTCAGTAGCAATGCATTTTGACGCCCCAATCCACCACAAAGACAAAAGTGATGCATTCAGCTATGGCTCATTCCCGTCTGTCGCATCACGGCCATAAATATTACCTTCGTGAATTTACCCTTTGAATGCCTCGTCGTACGCAACCGAATGTGGATTCGTTCCATGTGTTTCATTATGAGTCGTATTACTTCCACGGGACACTTTTAAACGTGTAAATTTGTTCCTGTAATGGATCTTGGGAAGATCGGCAGGGCGCTAATTTGTAAGGAAATGATTTAACTGGGGAGTCGGGATCACTAGGAAAGTTTCTTTTCACGGGGACGGGGCACATTTTATAACCATTATCTATTGACCTTGGAGACTGTTCACCACATTGTCCTTGTGCTAAGATGTTCATCCACGGGAAGAATTTAGCCTACATTCGCGACTTCTGTATTTTGTACTCTATTGAATGCTTTGTAAACTTGATCCATACGGCATGGATCAGCAGATATTAATTACTGGCGTCTAGTAATCTCCCTGTACGCTTTATATCTCTTGTATGCTTTTAACTCCAAACTGATTGGAAAATTTGTACTGCATCCATGCGGTGGAAAATGCAGCAGATGCCGGCTATCTGCATCCAGCTGCAATGCAGGCGACCCGGCAATAAAATTTAAACCTCCCCCGATCGTTGCATTATTTATGAATATTTATCTCGGCAGAAATGGCTTGTTTATTCACGACGAACATGTATGCTGGCATAGAGGTACTTTCGGCTTGCTCCGTGAGACCACGAAGACGACTTCTGTCTTGTGCTCGATTTTCAAGAATCGATACCATCTATAGTAAAGATTGCGGTAACACCATGTATTTATCTCTTCTTTGAGTATGTGTGGTTCTGAGATCTAGTTTCTTTCACCATGAAAACCTTTAAGTCTTATAATCGAAACCATGTTTGAAATCATTGCTCTGTCGTGTTTGCTGCTCGTCAGCGGAGCAGACGGCAACTGGAAACCTGGGAACAAGGACCACCCTTCGTATGCAAACCTGGTAACACGTACTGTTTGTTTAATAACCTGTAGGTCCCGGTCTTGGTCAGAGTGAAGAGAGTAGCACATGGGATCGATCGATCCTCGTATCTAAGATGACACACTATTCACGTTTGTTTCAGAGGGAAATTATTAACTGCGCATGTCCATATTTAGGATTATTTGCATACGTAAGAGGGCCATGAGAATTCGCCCCAGGCGAGTTAGCTGCTTCATTCATGAAATTTACGTCTTATTTTTAACTTTTTGTAAAAAAATCACGACCCAAAAATATTTTCAAAGTAAGATAAGGCCCTTTCCTAACGTGTTTTGTGAAAATAAAAATGAGAAATAGTGCCAGAGTGGTCAAAACTAGTGATTTTTGTGAAAGGTATGGGTCTACCAGATAACCAGACTTGAATGAAAACTACGATCGTGGCTCAGGAGGACTTTTGATGCAAATGGAAGTAAAGTCCCAACTGAACTTTGGTAAAGTCTGGTGGTTAATATTGTGCCGTACTATAATATAAATCTATTATTTGAGTGGTCTATTAGGAGATAGATTCATTCTTAAAATCGTTGGCTCTCAGTGTTCCTATGTTTAGATGTACGTAAACATGCAAGAAGCCCAGGGAAAATATGCTAAGAAACGGACCAACATTATGTTGCATGTAGGCGACAAGCAACCAGAAAAGATATTCATCAACGATGCTATCCGAATGCGGACGGGACGAGTTCGGAATATTTCGGC